AGAGTGCGGCAAGATGATCGCAAGGGGGATGATCGCCACAAGGGCAAAGGGCGGGGCAAGTCCACTGGCAAGGGAAAGGGCCCCTCAGGCAAGCAGGCGCCGCGTCAGCAATGGGCAACTTCCCTTGATGGAAAGTCCATTTGCCTTCGCTTCAATGGACCCAACAAATGCGAGGAGAAGAATTGCCGGTTCCTCCATGTATGCTGTGTGCAGGATCCTGAGCAGGGTGACACTCAGGCCGGGGTCAGCTTTCCTTTGTCACCACAGCTTGAGGAGTCCCACATACTCGTCTCCAACTTGGAGACCGCTTCGGAGCATTCATCAGTCTCCGGCTCAGACGATGCTTTCCCATATGTTTCACTATCCTTGCCAGGTGATGCGGTTCAGGGAATTCCTGCAGCTCCATCTTCAGTCCCGGACGTGATGGAGTCACTTCCATCCGCGCCCATTTTCCTGGATATTTGTGCTGGCTCCACCTTTCCTCTTGGCAATGCTATGCTTTCCAAAGGTGCTCATGTATTAGTGGTGGACGTTTTGGCGGGCGAGGGGCTGGACTTGTGCAATGATTCCATATTTGAGCAACTCCTTCGCTTATGCTTTTCGGGATGCGTCAGGTTTGGGGCTGCGGGCCCCCCATGTCACCTCTACTCTCGCCTTCGCTTGAAACCGGGAGGTCCACCGGCTTTGCGAACTCCCGAACATCTCAATGGAGTCCCGGGCCTCAGCACGCGCAATCAGTTGTTAGTGGACAGCAGCCGGGACTTGCTTGAACGTTGCTGCAATTTGTTGCTTGCAACCTTTGATGGTGGGGGGCATTTCAGTTTGGAGCAGCCACCCACAGCCATGAGCTGGGAGGAGCCCATCGTCCAAGCGCTTTTGCTTAAATCAGCAGTGGAGGATGGGGGAGGGGTTTTCTCCCAGCCGGACTGGTCCCTGCCTCCAAAGGGCTCTCTCGATCGGCTTCATGATTTCCGTCAGGCCCTTATGCGGTATTTAGCGGACCAGCGCCTGCCCGTCAAGGTCCGATCCTTGGCCGCGCAGGCAATGGCTCACATGCGGCAGTTATTTGCTACGTGGGCTTCAGACCAAGGGTACACTTCTGAAATTTCGTGGGACAAGCCTGCCGGCCAGCCGTACTGTCTCCACGCCTTGACAGCCCTGTCTTCCATTCTTGAGGCTCGAGACACTATGCTATGGCCTTCACTGATCAGTGGGGTTTCTACGGGATTTGATGCCGACATTCCTCCTTCCCACGTCTTTGCGCCTAAGGAGAGTCACCCAGCAAGTGACGACCTTCGCATCTGCTTTGGCAACTGGACGGGGGGCGAGGAAAACCCCACCCCCCTGGCGGAACTCATTCAGCAGGAGGTGGCGTCGGGCTGCTGGAAGAGGTCCCGGATCTAGCACATGCTCAGGAGCGTTGGGGGGACCGCTTGGCGGTTGGACAAGTAAATGTGGTAAGCGCCGAAGGGCGTAAACCGACTAGTAGTCGACAACACCGTTTGTGGTACCAATGATGCTTGCACCATCAATGAGTCCTACTCACTGCCTATGCTTTCCTCGGTGCGTCATTCCTTTCCCACGCGTGAATTTGCCGGAACTGCTAGCGCCTTTTCGATCGACATCGAGGCGGCGCACAAAACAGTTCGTGTGCGTGAGCAAGATTGCGGCCTTCTGGGCCTCCGCACTCAACTTCCGGGACAGCCAGCCAAGTATTACTTTTACAAGGTCTGCCCATTTGGGGCGGGTCTTCTCAGCCCTATGGTTCGCCAGGGTTGGCGCTTTCCTTGTCCGTGTCCTTCACATGCTGATTTGGATTCGCCACATGCTCGGCATGTATGTGGACGACCTCATTGGTTCCACGGATGAGCAGGCAGTGTACATGGTAGCTACAGTCACCCTGGCGTTTTGTGATATCTTTGGCTTCCCCATTTCCTGGCGCAAAGTTCAGATTGGGCACAGTATTGATTGGCTTGGCTGGTCATTTCACTTTCGAGCAGGGGCGGTGTCGGTGCCTATTAGCACCAGAAGCTTTGCTCGGGCATACAGCGTCTCCTGTCTAGTGAGCGCATCTTGAAGCAAGATCTTCATCCGGTCATTGGCTTACTTCAGTGGTTATGCCAGCTATACCCAGCTTCGCGTCCGCGGATGTGTTCCCTTTATTCTGACCTTCACACGCCCCACGGCACCAACTACAGTATCGCGCACGGCGATTGGCCGGAACTGATCCATCATCTTGCACCTGACCTGCATTTTACCTCTTCTCCCCAAGGTACTGCTATTTCTAAGGGGGCCAAGCTTCTTTCGGTGCGACATAAACAGATCTCTTCCCTATCAAGCTCGTTCCGGTCACTGAGCGCCGAATATGGATACGTGTGGCAGATCCTGCCAACTCCAGGCGCAAGCTATCATACCCGAGCCGCAGCCTGCTTCGATACTGGCTTCGCTGGGCACAGGACCCACCTCTGATGGTTCCCATGTCGGACCCCTTTCTCTTCCC